AGCAGGATGGTATGGTGAATTACAGGCACTGGATTTAAATAGACCTGGGTTCAAATCCCAGCTCTGCTACTTACTAGCTGTATGATCTCTGGCAAGTTTTTTTTTTTTTTTTTTTATTTTTTTTATTTTTTAACTGCTTTGTGCTTCCAATCTCTCAGCTATAAAATGGAAGTGATCACGGGCTTGTTGTAAAGATTAAACTTTTTCTTCAAAGGTTTAAAATTATGTTATGCAGACCTCTTCAAACCCATGACTTAGAAAACATCAAGTGCAGTTAGTTAGCCTTGAGTTTTTCTTCATATTTTAATTTTATATGAGGGCAGTGGTTGCAAATTAAGTTTTTTTTTTTTTTTTTTTTTTAATTTTAGCCTCAGACAACACTAAATCCTCATCCAGTCTAGTGATGGTGCCTTCAGTTATTCCCAAGTATAACAGAGGCCATGACACAGAGCATTATAACCTGCACTTCTAGGCACATTTCTCTTATTTGCTTTTTGTGATACAAAGGGAGGAACAGAAAAAGGAGAGAAACTTCTTAAGTAAACCCTACAGCTTCTAGCTCTAACCCTGCAACCTTAACGTTCACTTATTTTATTATATTAGACCCTCTCCTTTTTCAACATGAATCATTAGCCACAAACTGGCATATATTTTACTTTAGGGTTATTGGGTGTTTTAATCCCAACTTACGAAGTTATCTAATTCAAAAAGCCTGAACACTCTCTCCCATGCCCAATCTAGCCAACTAAATTACAGATCTGCATGAATATGGGTTATACCCCTCCTGAAGCCTGCCTCTAGGATAGAAGTGCCTCTCTCCTAGAATCTCATAATATTCTGTACATTAATTACTGTGCTCACAATTGTAATTATCCAGTTATATGTCTGTTTGTCCCACAGCAATTCACCCCTTCAAGGCAGGAATCCTATCTTATCTTTGCATCCCAAGCACCTAGCAGGGTGCCTGGCATACAGCAGGCAGTAAATAAAGTCTGTTGAATAAATGATTTAATAGCTGAAAGAGTACTTACTGCAAATTATTGTTTTAATCTTCCTCTTCCATCTTTGGCGATAAACATTGGGGTATTTCTAAATCAGAAGGCAGGAAAATAGAACAATAAGTAAATGTTAGGATTAATATTGAGGAAAGATGTCAACTGCACCTCATTCTTATAATTTAAAAAGAGGAAGATGGAGTTGGGGGCTAGGGGCAATCGCAAATAAAGACAAATGCATATATTTGTAGTTATTTACCAGCTCCCAACTAGGCCAAGGTTATTCCTAGTTGGATACAGTGAACTACGGCAAGCCAAATAAGAATTTATCATAGAAAACTGCAAGAATGACTGCCCAAAGGTTGCTTCCAGTGGGCCCTTGAAACAACTCTAATGTAAAAAAATACAAAAAGCAGACGGGGGGCTGTAAGTCTTTGGCTGGAGGATATTGATTCCTCCTCATGCAATGAAGCCTAAAGTCAAGTTATATGAATTCTCTGTTGTCTCTCCTTCTCAGAAAGGGCCAGTTTCTGAAAAGGAATAGAAACAGTAACCTGAAATGTCTGACGAGGCCAACCACGCTAAGGGTGCTGTACACTTAAACCACCTCCTTCTTCTGCTTTTTTTCTCTTTTGGATGCTGACAATAAAGGAGAGGAATTCAGGTAGAGAAAAGTGTACAGGTTGTGACCTAGGACACTGAGTCCCACCCCTCAATCTACCACGTGTGGCCTCGGGTAGCCACTAAGGTCTGTGCTCATTTCCCCAACTCTTGCTTAGAGGTAATGATGCTTCATCTCACTTGCAAGGACATTACAGGATTAAACAGATGGGCACAAAGAAAGACCCGAGGAAGGCAGAGAGGTGGTGTTATTATATCTGTCAGCGCGTGGGGAAGGGGAACCTTGTCCTGGGCTGCTTAAGTACTTCTGCCTAGGCCTGAGTTTTCTGTGCCAATGTGGCTTGCAGGTGGGGAAATCAGTGGCTTCAGCTGTGGGCAGCATTGATGGCTGAGGCAAAGAAAACGGTATGGAAGTGATTTTTTTTTTTTTTTCTGGGCTGCGCTCTGCGGCTTGCGGGATCCCAGTTCCCTGACCAGGGATTGAACCCCAGCTCTCCACAGTGAAAGCACAGGGTCCTAACCACTGGACCGCCAGGGAATTCCCGGAAGCGAATTTATACCAATAATATCTCTAGAATTGTAATATTTCACTGGTGAAAAAGGAAGAAAAATTACCTTTTCTTAATAAGGTTCCTGTTCTCTGGTTAGCCAAAGAATGGTACACATGAAGAGGGGGACACTCATTAGTAAAAGTTTTTATAAAATGGTGATCTAAATTCAGAAAAGATCAGTGTTTTAGGTCTTGATCTCAAGAGCCACGTCAACAGGCCAAATTCAGGTGCCCTATTAGAAGTGCCATAAACCTTTAAAACAAATGTCTTAGCTCACCTGCTAGGATGGCTATGATCAAAAAGACAGACATGGGGAGCATGAGTGAAAATGGAGAAATTGGTGGCATCATACACTGCTGGTGGGAATGTAAAATGATGCAGCCGATTTGGAAAACAGTCTGACAGTTCCTCCCAAGGTTAAACACAGAGTTACCATGTGACCCAGCAATTCCACTCCTAGGTATGTACCCAAGAGAAATAAAAACATGTCCACACAAAAACCTGCACATAAATGTTCACAGCAGCATTATTTGTAATAGTCAAAAAGCAACCCAAATGTTCATCAACTGTCGAGGGGATGAATAAAATGTAGTGTATCCTTGTGATTGAATATTATTCGTCGTTAGAGTGGAATGAAATAGTGACACATGGTACAACATGGATGAACCTTGAAAACATTATGATAAGAAAGCCAGACACACACAAAAAAACCCACATATTGTACGGTTCCATTTATATGAAATGTCCAGAAGAGGAAATTTATAAAGACGGAAAGTAGATTAGGGGTAGCCAGGGGTGGAGGATGGGGAGAAGGGGGGTAACTGCTG